TTTTGGGTTTTGGAAGTGTTTTGGAGTTTGTACGTGTTTTGGAATTTGCATGTGTTTTGGAGTTTGTACGTGCTTTGTCTCTAGGGGCCACCGTAAAAGAGGCCTCAGAAGACAGGAATATTTAGCACTGGGGGCCCTGACACCCAAAGTGCTTCAGACTACAAGGCACATTTTCAAACGTACATTCACACAGCACTTTTATCTACTTTACATCCATGACAAATTTCACATCACCAATTACCGTACATGTGTTTTTGGAGGAAGCCAGAGAACTTGGATGAAACCCAAGCAGGCGTTGAGAGAACATTCAAACTTTCACACAGAACCAGAACTAACCCAACCAGGAGATTTAAACATGAGACATTACTATGATGCAGTAGAACCAACCACAGCACCAGCATGAAAGATTTCCTCTGACACAACTCAAGCAAATATAACACAATATCACAATGTGCTGGTGTGGAACAGCTACAAGGCAGGAATAATACAATCACAGGAATCAATAACAAGAATGATATTGACAAAACTTATACACAAAAAATCAAAGAACTTTTTTTTTACTAGAGCAACTGTAGAAACTGAGGAGCAAACTGACATTCACTAATGTAAACCAAGAGTTAAAACCACAAAACAGAGATGATAAGAATTAGAGACATTTACAAGAAAATACACTTCTGGTTTTAGGTGATTGTTTCGGTGTTTGCCTGGTCTGTCAGTAGAACATGTAGAGCCTGGTGGCCAGCAAAGAATATCACAGTAATTTAGTCTTAATTTGAAACCAAACACAGGCACAGGGAGAGTAATTATTAGATAGAATATACTGAGCTTAGTTCAGAAAGCAGCACTTCTTGTCTAATTAGCACATGATGCTATTTAAAATAAAATATTTACAGGACTGTGTAAAAGTCTTGAGCCACTTAACTTTGATCTATAAATCATTAAAACATCAAAAGGCACCTCACTAGGTGAATAAACTAGTGTTGTACCTACACCTACACACCTACACAAAACCAAGTCTATCTTTAGTCTGGTCGCAAAAACACAAAATCTGTTCTCATTTCTTTAGTTGAATTTACAAATTTCCAAAAATGTCAAGGTTTGAAAGACATACAATTGTATCTTTGAACCAACGAGGTGATTCCCACAGAGCTATCAGCTGAAACATTTGTCAAACCTCAATGTGGTATGGGATTTGTCCTTAAAGAAATGTAAGAAAACTGCGTAAGTAAAAGAAGTGTCTATAGCATATATATGTCTATAAACAGTATCTAAAAGTCATGTCCTTAGGAAATGGGGGTAAAATCCCAGCAAAGAGTCTCAATGGAAGAGAGAATTGAAATGAGGAGAAAAGGCTGAGCTATTTCCAACCACACACGTACTGGACTGCAACTTGTTTTAATCATTCATTAATCCAAAGTGGACATTTTGGGTTCAAATTATTGTTTATATGTATGGTCTAGGTTAGGGAAGAAGTACATCAGTGAGCGGTTTTAGCCATCTGTAAAACACACCTTAGGTGTTGTCATGGTTTTTTGGGGACCTTGTAAAGAAAAAGGTATGGGAACAGCTTCATTTTTCCAAATTACAGTGATCCCAACACTGCAAGTGCAGTAAAAGCATACCTGCATAGAAAAACATACACATGGGAACACGATCAGTCATGGATTGGCCTCGTGAAAGCCTGTACCTAGACATTATTGACGTAGTGCATCTTAACAAAGATTGGAACAAAAGGCAGCCAACTCAAAAAAATAAAAACCTATGAAATGCCCCTCATGAAGCCCAAAGAAGTACTTCTGTTCCTTTTTAGAAGACCTACCTGCAAACCTGAACGACCTTCAGGTACCATCTCAAGCTACCAGTGGTCACGATGGTTTTTGTTTCCTAACTGAAGTTTATCTCTCTTTGTGTTTGTCATCAGCAGCTGTTCTCTTAATGTTGTTTTGAGGATTTGTATATAAGATTCCCCCCTCATGCATATTCCTAAATGTGCGAGAGGGCAAATAATTTATGTTGATTGATTCTCTTATTCATATGATTTCATGTTTGAAAACAGATAAAGATTCATCTGCCTGGAAGATCAACAGTCAGATGAATCATGTTGTTGTCAATAACAGATCATAAGAAACTGATGCTGTGTGAAAATGCTATACAAAGAACACTTTAAATAAGGAAGATTCTCGAAATAATACATTTGTTCCCTCAGCATGTAAGCCTGTAGGCTTAAATGTGTTCTACTTAATTCATTTCTTGGAATGGCAGCTGCACTGTAGCCAAAATAAATAAGAGTATTTAGAAGAACTCTCAGTAAAGTGGTTCAAATTATTATGCTAAAGGTTATTATTTTTTTTATTTTATTTTTTTTGCTTTAATCTGCTATTTTAAAATTAAGTCAAAGCAACTTAAATCTGTATTCTGGGTCTTACTGAAACTCATGTTTTAGAATGCAGCCATTTAATTATTCAGATATTAAATGCTACCAACATTGTGTATATATGTTCAGTATATCAATATAACAACAAAGTCAGCAGTTTTCTAAAATGTTGCAAATCACAGGTCACAGTTTAGTTTATAAGCCCTTTATATCTTTTACTTATGCGCACAGCTGTGCATATGCTTATCGTTGTCAGTGAAAAACATGGTTTTCATGTAAAACAAGAACGCTTACTATTAAGAAAATAGAGTATTGTTTTTTTTAATTCAAAAATAAAAGATAAATAAAATGACGATAAAGTTCTTATCACTAATCAAATAAATAATATGACCTCACGACTGATCCCATGGTCCAACATTCACCAACAGTGAGCGTCGTGCGTAAAAAGCAATATGCCCATCACAGCCAGAGAGATGTGAGTGCTGATACTGTATAATGACTAATAACAATAATACAATTGATAATAATAACGACAATAAAAAAAACTCGTTTCAAATTTTAGGGACAGCTGCGTGGGTCTTCTTTCCCAACTGAAGAAAGTATTATTTTCCCTGCGTTTCTTCACTTCGCCTTGTTCCGCGCTGCGGAGCTGCAGTGATGTCAGCCTGCCTGGGTGATTTGAAGGTCAGCCGCCTCGGAAGGGTTCATACAGAGTTCACCGGCATATATTAAGCATTTCAATCTTTCACTCTCTGTGGCAAAACTAGTTGGAAATGAGTTGCGCGGGGGGGTGGATAACCCATTCGTCATCGCAGAAGAAACGTGAGCTTTTAAACGCCGTCCGTGGTTCTTTTTTATTAACATTATTATTACAAGAGACAAATTCTCCTGTTCGCGCGTGTTTTACCACCGCTCCCAATGCGAGACGGGGCGATTTCCAAAAAACAGGTCGGATTATTGTTATTATTATGGAGTCTTCAGAGGTTCGCGGCAGGGCGGAGAGTAGACTCGGTGCAAGAAATGAGGATTTAGAAAAAGCGGCGGAGCGTTTCGGACTGAAATAATTAGTGATTCCAGTGCGGGACGAAGGAGAAGAAGAGGAACGAAATCCGCCGTGCCAAGGAGAGGGGGAGGGAGGGGGAGAGGAGTTCGACGGAGTTGCTTGCGCTTATGTCGGCGATTTTTATCCATCACACACAAGAGTAGTTGAACGAAGAGCCTCTTATCATGTTTGACTGCATGGACATGCTCACCGTAAGTCCCGGACAGATGCTGGATTTCTACACCTCCAGCCCGTCCTCCTGCATGTTGCAAGAGAAGGCTCTGAAAGCATGCATCAGCGGACTGGCGCATAGAGAGTGGCAGCACCGCCGGAGCGCACACTGTAGGTCCAACTTCTCCACATTCTGTCGTATTCATGCTGTCGTTCTTGTGCTTATTGTTTCGCTTTGAGTCGCAGAGGTGAGCTTGAAATAATCATACAGGCGGAGTCCGGCATCTGTTCACAACAAGTTCTAATGAAAGGGCCTGCAGGTGGCAAGAGTGACAGTGGTAAACACGATGGAAACTGCTGGGTAATTATTTGAGAGTTTTACGCTGCCGCATAATTAAATCTTCCAAAAAAAAAGGTATTAAAGATTCAAAGGGAGACCATTTGTGGAGCATCTTTGGAGCAAAATCAAATGTTTAGATTATTAAAAACAAAGAAAAAGTCTCCGAGCGCCTCACGTGCTTCCCAGCAGAGCCGATCTACTGAATGAATGCTGATGGCTTCCAGCAGTTCAGTTCAGAGAGCAGCACCCTAGCTGGAGGAATGTAGACCGTAAACACGGGCGGTGTTTCCACACCTCCCTCCCCGGGCTGCACATGACAGGAGGGGGCGGCCTGGCAAACCGCGACTTACGTTCTCTGACACTAATGCAGATAAACGAGCGCGCGGACTTCATTGACTTTAGCGGCAGCTCGCTGCTGGAACACGAACTGACCAAAGCTAATGAATGATTTTGTGCTAGTTTTTATCCAGGAGACCAAGTGGACGCTTTAAGGGCACAGAGTGTTGCGTGTACTGTTGACATAAAGAATAAATGTAAGATTTAACAGTCCACAGTCAGGACTATATCGAGAATGAGCACTGTGTTAATTATTATTATTATATGAATTATGACTCGTTATTTGTGGATCTGTTTAGATTTTTGTTACAAAACTAGCCTGCATGTTACTGCACGACATTCGAAACAGCCTATATAATATCACACTCACAACTGAGCCTGTTGTCATGAGGCAGTTGTCAGTGTTTGTTTATGGCTGACGCCCTGTTGCTGCTCTCTGATTTATCTTAATTTGTTAACGACCTCCTCATGTGTCACTGCTCAAAGGCAAACCCAGTGAGCAGAAAAGTTTCGGCTGAAGCCTTTAACCAGCAGCCGACTCCCACAGCGCTGTGCTGCGTGTCATTTACCTCAAATTTACATCTAGTTCTTATTTTCGTAATGACTGTATTTTCTGCTAACCTGTCAGAAACCTGTTCCTGGTGGTCAGGGCTCTTTAAATGATCAGCATGCCAAAGAAAACTCGATTGTCTTTAAGAGCTATGCTTTTTCTCCTAAAATTTATATCCAGTTGACATAAATTTGTGGTTATCTACAAATTATTGCTCTAAATAAAATAACAATAATAAAAAAACAGCGATCAGGCCTTTAAACCTGTTAAATATTTTCCCATTTAAAAATGTTTTCTATTACATTATGTGCTCAGTCAGAACTATGTAAACGTTTTAAATATGTATTTAAGATTAAATGAATTATTGTTTTTTATTTACAGGTATTCTGTATAGTTTTTCAATTATATGCTTTTTTATTTTTGTCCATTTATTTATTTAAGACACAAGCAAAACCAGAAAGCGATGATAGCATGGTGCTGTGAAAGGTTTACTCCAGCGGGTAAAGTGTCAGCATTAAGAATGTAAATGTAAAGACATTTCATTACTTAGAAAAATAATATTTTTTTTAAAAGGTAAATCTTAGTGTGTGTAGCAAGGAGCATTAGTCCCACGAGTTCTTGGATATGTCCATGTAAACTCGTCCTGTCAGCTTTGAACAAAAGGCCAACATGGACTGGATTTTATTCAGGCTTCTGCCGTGTCCAAGTGTTTTTTCTTCCACTAAGTCCAAATGACTTTTTAAGCATTGGTCTATATTGATGTAGTTGTTGCAGTTTTACATGATCTCTTAATTCGCAGTGAGCCTACTAATTAACAGATTGCGTAAATTTACTTTGTCTCACTGGCTTGCAGGGAGGATTTTCTCTGTCATCAGAGCAGAGGCCTGCTCCAGTGCATATTTATTTCTTTATTTCATGTATCTACTATTTCCTATTCAGTTGTTCCCTTTTTGTTTGAAACAACAGTTTTTGCACTTGATTTACTTCAAATAGAAAAGTGAATGTTTTTTGTTTGTTATATTTTGCATTTCATAATTTTTTATGGTTCTGTGATTGAGTGAATTCACTCTTATGTTCCTCATTGACGATGCAAAATGTCCTTAATCTTTTATATGAACCTTCAAAATGAACTCTGTACTTTAATTAATAAGTTAATTAAGTAAATTAAATTAAGAATCGATTGATGAAAATAGTGTAGCTTGTGAATATTTTAATATCTGTAGGGCATGTAAAACTGCTGTTGGTGACTGGGCAATGTTTCTTTTATCAATAATTCTATTCTTGATAAAAGTTTGCAGATTAATTTTTAAAGTAAGGTAGAAATAAGGAAATGACTGGGAAAGCCTCCCCTGCCCCCATTTTTTAAATATGCCATTATTTTTGTGCAATCTCTCAATGTCAGATCTCAGTGAACTTGAAATAGCTGCAATGCTAAAAATGAGGAACTCATGAGTAACACTTTGGCCTGTGAAGCCCAGTGTGCAGGTGACAGGAGGCCTTCTAACTAACACATCCCAGTAAGCTACTGTTTAAATAAGACCTTGGTTTGAAGAAGCATGTCTTGTGTTCACTGAAACATCGGTTTTATAGTTTGTTTTTCCAGGAAAATGCAAACCTCCTGAGTATTAATTAGCTGCAATGACAACAAAGCAACCATTAATGCATTTCCTCGCTCAGTTCAGATGTTAATTAAGAGTGAAAGAAACTCTTACACTGATGAAATGGGCTATCGAATGGCTACACATGATGTCAATAATCTGGAAACAAGCAGCTGAAATGTTATCATGAAAAGACAAAGCCAAAGAGACAGCCTGGTATGGATTGTAGATCTGACACATGCTATGAAATAATGAGTCTTTTGTCTTTAAGCCTTAGCATCTCTGATATGGACATGAAAGGCCACGACTTGCCACCAAACTAATTGACTGTGTGAAATGACAGGTGAACGGGGGGAAATAAAACGCTGTGTACAACAGTGAAATGATTAGGGTGGCATTAAGGCTGCCCTGGGCTCTGCTGACACTGTGTGTTGATGAAAATACCTGCCTTTAAATAAATATCATATATTAGCGAGCACATAAATGATCATAGCTGCTGATACATGCAACTTTTAGATTTCATATTATAAAGAATGACTCATTTTCACACTTTCTATAGCTGATGTTGTAGTGGTAATTAAAAAATCCTAGATGTTATTACTTTTAAAAAAGGTTTATGATGTTGAAAATTAGATTTTTTTCACAGAATTTTTTTTTTAAATAGCTTGCCCTGAGCTTCATGTCATCTTTAAATGTATAAAATGGACAGTTTTGTTTAAAACTGCAATAAAAAATAAAGAAATAGGATAAAACAACAGCGTGAACAACGGGAAACCTCAGTACAAACCAATAGATAATAATTTTATCGACTATGTTAAAAAATATGAGGAATTTTTTGTTGTGTCTTTTGCAGTCTTATTAGAGTTTTAGAGGAGTTTTCCCTGAAATGTCATTAATTACTTGACTATACATTAGAATTTCTCCTTCTGAAAGTATATTTGCAGAAGTGGAAAATATACATGTTTTAGGCTACTACAAAACACTATATATGGACCTCTCCCATCCCAACAATGGACTCTTCTCAATGTTGAGGTCTGGCAAATGCTTCCACTCTCTTAAGGCCAAAACAGAGAGAATGAGGACGAGCTTCTTCCCTCAGGCTATTCGGGTCTTGACCCAGGGATACTCTGAACTGTCATGCATCATGTCACTGCACACACACTGTTTATTTGCACACTTCTTATAATTTCTTTCTTAAATATTTTATTTGCATATTCTATTTTTTATCTTATAATTTAGCTTAGTTCTTAGGTTAAATTCCTAATTTATTCTTCAAATCTGTTCGACCTTTTTTTTCACTGTAAACTTTTAAAATGTAGTAGTTTAATGGTCGGATATTGTACAGCAATAACGTTTCACTACATGTTGTACTGTGTACGACAGAATTTGAATGTACAAACCTGAAAAATACATTAAAATACATTATTGAAAATATACTGAAAGTTTTTCAGTCTGCTCTTAACACACCGTCACAGACCTTCTTATTAGGGTCCCAGTGATAGTTTCATAATTTTTCACGGTTGTGTGTTTATGTGATTTTTCATGATTTTTGATTTCCAAAAAAATAAACGTTGATTTTCTAATATAATCATACAGTTTTCTGAAGCTGACGGGCAAACAGTGAAATGTTTGGTTGTAAAGTAAAACAATTATTCTTTTATCAGAATGATTGCTGAATAACAATAACACACACACACACACACACACACACACACACACACACACACACACACACACTTCTGAGATATAGTAGCGGATATAAATCAGTTGAAGCTTGAATGAAATTAAGAACAGAACAAACATTTTCACTCTTTATCTTTTCTGTTTTTTCATTATTTTGCATTTGGCTGGGGTCAGTGACCCTACGAGCAGCGCGAGGCAATAAATGAACCCTGCAGAGGTTCCACAGGTAGTCCAACGTGTCCAGGATGGCACATTAAGGCCACCTGTGTATGTGTCTTTAACTAAACAATCAGAAACAGACTCTATGAGGGTGGTCTGGTGGTCCTAACTCCTGTAGTGGGCTTTGTGCTCACTGCCTGGCACCATAGCCCAATTGGAATTTGCCATAGGATACCAAAACTGGGAGGTGTGAGACACAGACCTGTACAGGCTAGACCAGGGATGCCCAATCCCGGTCCTCGAGAGCTACCATCCTGCAGCTTTTAGATGCATCCTTGTTCCGTCACACCTGACTCAAATGAATGGCTTGTTATCAGGCCTTTGCCAAACTTGATGGCACGCTGAAGAGGTAATCCAATCATTTGATTCAGCTGTGTTGGAGTAGGGATGCATCGAAAAGCTGCAGGACTCTTGAGGACTGGGATTGGGCACCCCTGGGCTGCAT